CCCTAAACCCTAATCCTCTCAGGGGGCAGCAGCAAACAACCGAGATGGTGCGGAGTTATAACACCAGGGGACGTGGCGGCCAGCTGAGTGAGCCCTCATCAAACCCTAAACCCCAAACCCTAAACCCCAAACCCTAAACCCTAAACCCTAAACCCTTCCTGCGTCTCTAACCCCCATCAGCCCTTCCCCCCCTCTTTTCTTTATTTCTTCTCTTCTTTATTTCACTAAGCTCCAACAGGGGGGCCCCGGGGGCCCCCCAGCTGTACCCACCGCGGGGGCCCTTGGCAATCACTGGGGGCCCCTCAGGGGCCCCCCCTCATATCGGACCCCTTTCCTCAGGGGCCCCCCAGGGGGGCCCCTTTCCCCTCTTCAGGGGCCCCCAGCGTTTGCCTGATGATCCCAGCTGGAGAGCTGTGGGGGCCCCGGGGGGGCCCCCCCCGGGGGCCTCCTTGGGTCCCCCCTGGGGACCTTGGAGACCCTCTGGGGGCCCCCTGGGGGGCCCCTGGGGGCCCCCCCACCCAGCGACCTCTTGGGGGCCCTCGTGGGGCCCTTGGAAACTCTCTGGGGGCCCCCCCTGGGGGCCCCCCCTGTGCCCCCTGGGGGGCCCTTGGGCGGAGTGGAGTGGGCTGCGAGGAGAAGTATAAAGGGCCCCCCTTTTTGTATGTGTTTAGGGTTTAGGGTTTAGGGTTTAGGGTTTAGGGTTTAGGGTTTGTGTGCAGGCCGAGTGACTGCTTATCGAGGCCGAGGAAGAGGCAAGGCCTTTGGGTGGGGTTCATACAGCAGGCCAACATACATCACCAGAAACAGGTACCTGTCTCCTTTTTTTTTTTATTTTTTTTGTCTCCTTTTTATTTTTCTTTGTTTTGTTTCTTTTGTCTCCTTTTTACTTTTTTTATTTCGTTTGTCTCCTTTTTGTTGTGCTTATTTGTCTCCTTTTTCTTTTTTTATTTGTCTCCTTTTTCTTTTTTTTTGTATCTTTTGTCTCCTTTTGTTTATTTCTTTTGTCTCCTTTTGTTTATTTATTTTGTCTCCTTTCTGTGTTTTATCTGTCTCCTTTCTTTGTTTGTTTTATGTGTCTCCTTTTGTTGTTTTCATCTTTGTTTGTTTTGTCTGTCTCCTTTTGTTTATTTCTTTTGTCTCCTTTCTCTGTTTCTTTTGTCTGTCTCCTTAATCTCTCTCTTCTGTCTCCTTTTTTTTTTGTTTTATCTGTCTGTCTCCTTTTTTTTTCTGTCTCCTCTTTATATATATCAATAAAAATATCTAACAAGGGTTTATAACAACCAATACAAAAAAAAAAAAATTAGGGTTTAGGGTTTAGGGTTTAGGGTTTAGGGTTTAGGGTTTATGTTTCAGGTATATGCCTCGAGGTCAAGTTGGTCGTATAGGGGGTTTAGGGCGTGCAATGGCTCGTCGCAGCGGCCGTCAGCAGCAGCAGCAGCAGCAGCAGCAGCAGCAGCAGCAGCA